TCTGAAAATTATTTTAAAAGCATAGTCTTTTCTGGCCGTGATTTTGGGGATTTCACATTGATCTTGAAGGTGCACATGATTTTATGAACGATATTTATATCTATAATTTGACGAAAATATAGATAAACATGTATAATAGAGGTGTGAAAAGAACGATGTTTGGTGCCCGAAAAATAGAAAGAAAAAAACCCGTAGCTAATTACCTACAGAATAGCTACGGAATTCTAACGGAAAGCATATTCCGTAGCTAATCCATAGGTAATTAGCTATGGATTAACTATGGAATTTTCTTATTTTCTATTTTTCGGACACCATTTTTTTCACACCTCTATTATACATGTTTATCTATATTTTCATCAACTTATAGCTATTAATATCGTTCATAAAGTCGTGTGCACATACGGGATCCATTACTCGTTTAATGGTTTGAAAATATAATGTTTATTAATACATTTACACACAAATACTCAAAAACACGTATACATACACATATGCACGTACACTTATACCACAACTCATTCATGTAAATAAGTATACATATACGAACATAAACCCATAACAAGTTGGTGAAAATTATAGACATTACAATGTTAAAACGTGAAACGAGTACTTATCCCGAATGTGAACATGACTTTATGAACAATATTAATAGCTATACGTTGGTGAACATATAGATGATAATGTAAAATAGAGGTTTGGAAAAACGAAGTGGAAAAAACGACGTCTGGTGCCCGAAAATTCGAAAATAATAAAAGTCTATAGTTAATCCGTAGCTAATTTGCTACGGACTAACTATGATTTTTATTTTTTTGATTTTTCCGGCACCAAACATCGTAATTTTCGCTTTGTTTTTCTTCACACTTCTATTATACATGATTATCTATATATATATTTTTTTATCAACTTATAGCTATTTTTATCGTTCATAAAGTTGTGTGCACCTTCACGATCTATTACTCAATTCATTGTTTTATATTGTAATACTCATTAATATTTGCAATTTTTGATATGCATACGTGTAGACACGTACACACATAGATAAACATAAACATACACAAACACATACACATTCAAAATACACACATACACATATGTACTTACATACACATACATACATAAATACATAAATACAATATACATATTTCCCTTTATTATGATCAGTTTTCATTATTTATAAATTAAACATAGATTATTTCACCTTATTGATCTGTTAAACGTTGTTTTTTTTTTTTTTTTTTTTTTTTTTTTTTTTTTTTTTTATTGCTTGTTTGTGTGTTAACACATTTGTTACAATCATTATATATTATTATGATGTTTATAAATATTATTATTAATAGTATTATTAGTATGATTTTTTAATTGTTTGTGTCTTAAATATGTAAGAAAAATGATCAAAATAAAAAATTATAGAGTCGAATAATGAAAAAATAATGATAATGGGAGTAATAATAATAATAATGGAAATTATAAATCCGTCGGTACGTCGTAGCTATTCTATAGCTATTTTCTTCCGTCACTAGTCCGTCCATATTCCATTGTTAATTAGGTACAAAATAGCTACGGTTTAACGCCCATAGCTATTTCGTAGTTATTCCGTAGCTATTCCGTTACTATATTTGGGCTTCCCATTCTCAAGCTGATCCGTAGCTAATTAGCTACGAACTCTTTCTGTAGTGGTACGATCCTCGTGAAGAACAATTATATATATATATATATATATATATATATATATATGTATGAGTGTGTGTGTGTTTTGGGGAACATACTTGAAAGGACCAAAAGAACTTGATTATTTCTAGCTACTAATCCCCTTCCACCAGACCATTTCTCCCGAATGATACATAACACCATCAAAATCACATGTTGTAACCAGTTGTGGCTACACATCAAATTTAAAAGGTAATTTACCTCATTGTTTTTTAACTTACTTTTGGATATGAAGATAACCTGATATGATTATTATGCATGTAGTTTTCTTGCCACCACACTAATCGACCCATAATAGGTTATACCCAAATGCAAATATACAGTTTAGATGATATCATCTGTATCTTGAAAAATATTCCCAAGAACCATCATTAATCTTATCTCGCACCCACTACTAAAAATGTGTTATAATATTATTGTATTTTAAATTTGTTATTAATTCAATAAGTTAATTTTCAAGCAGGAAAAATAGATCGAAAGAAACTATAATTTGGTTCAAATGAAACTTAGCATAACATGCAACTTTGCAAAATTAATGCATTTCATGAGATCTTCACTATACAAAATTCCTAAAAAAACGGATAAATCACACCTTTATAGAATATCGTGTGCAAGTAGTGAACTTGATAGTTTTTTCCAAACAAAGCCCACGACAATTTTCTTTCACAAAGCAAAAATGTAATATCGTAGAAAAAGATTGTAACGTCTAACGTGGAGTAGAATATGTGTCTCTGGTATCACCCAAGAGAGGTAGAGGTGCTAGACTTTGACGATAACATATGGTGTTTAGATGCTTAACGATGACCCACACAATGCATTTCAAGAACATAATGTGCAAATGAGATTCATATATACATATATAACAACATTAATTTTTGCAACGCCTAAAATTTCTCCAACATATTTTTATGGAATCAATATGATCAGTAATAAACATAGATTTGCATAGTTGACGATTAACCTCGAACATGTCGAACCACTTAAGGAAGGACTAGGTGTATAAAAGTAAAAAGTTAGAAAATGTGTTGGTTACTAGTTTTCGTAGTTGTTATTATAGTAAATAATATTTTTGAACAATGTATACACCATTGATATATTTTATGAAAGAGTGATTCATTTTGTTGAAATTTTTACCACTCATAAAATACAACGAAACAGGACTTCGTAAAAAGAGGTAATTTGTGGATTATTAACAATTTGGTGTTTAGTTAGGAATATTCTAGGGCACATTAAGAATCATTAATTGATTGAAGTACGAGTATTAATTATAAGAAATATATTATAATTAAATATGATAAATATTAATTATTTTGTAATATTATCATAGTTAAATGTAAAACACATTAATTGTAAAATTATTATTTATATTTAATATTTATTACATTTAATTATGGTAATATTCTTTATAATTAATCCTTCAATTAATGGTTCTTATATGTGCCCTTAGATAGGAGTGAGCCAAAACCACACCCTAATTAAAATTAACCACAAAAACTGCAACCACCATAAAACCCGATGACGAGGTTTTATGTTTTTTCAATAACCGCAAATTTACGTTGCAGTGCGGTTATTAGTTTTCAAAAACCATAAAAAACTGCACGACACCGCATATATTGTATACATTTTTTTTATTAATTATTAATAACATATTAAATATTAAAAATAAGACCTCATTGATGAAAGTATGATAAAATTCTAAAAGACAAAATTGTTGATTTTTTTTTCTTATGTTTAACTTTTATATGTTTAAACTCTTAAAATCATTTTAACTCTAAAGTGTGGTTAAAAACCACACAAAATAACTGCATCAAATTCATGTGGTTAATAACCGAAACACAAAAAAATGCACCGCAAAAATAACCGCCTAACCGCGCCAAGCAGTTTTGAAAATGGATTAACTGCATTTGTAGTTATTTGTGAGGTTTTAACCAATAACCGCATCGAACTGCACTACGCTCACTCCTACCCTTAGGGTACATATTAGAAAATTCATTTTAGTTAAGCATGACATGAATAATGTATGTGAAGAATCGAGGGTAGTTGCAGAGAGTTTGTTACAAAGAAAATAAGGTTAAAGCTTTAAGAAATATTAATAAGAGTTATTTTACGAGTTTAGTAAGATATGCGAATTATTTGCGGATTCGATTTTGTCACTAAGGGTTTGTTTGGAAAACTAGCGGAAAAGCTAACTTTTCATAAGTTGATAAGTTAGTTTGTAGATTAATAATATTTGGTAAAAAATAATTCATAAACTAGATTGCAATATAAAATGACATAAATAGATATTTAAAAATATAACTAAAAGAAAAAAAAGAGTATACTAAAGAGTTATACTATCAATATCTAGAGTTGGCAGATAAATGTCTTTTATCCAAATAAGTGGACGGAAGATGTTAAAAAAATAATATATATAATTAAAACTTCAAGTTATTTTTAAAATATTAAAAAAAAAACTCCATATATTTGTTAAAAACTATCTTAAAGAAATTTCTGAAAAGGTAGTTTATTTTGGACAAACGGTTACTAAATCAGAAAAAAAAAATAGTAAGGCATAATTAGATTGATCATTTGATAATATTTATAGAAAAGTTGTTTATGTCATGACATCTCTATTAATGGGATTTTAGTGAACTTAAATATTATATTGATCTAACCTTACATAATTTTCGTTTTTACGTTGGGCGGTGTATGTGAGGGAAAGGTAAAACTTAAAAGGAACCTAAACTGCATCCTAAAACACTACATTATGGGTGTGGTATAGGGTGTAAGTTTAAAGTGTTTGAGTGTCTATATATATATATATGTGTGTGTGTGTGTACACTAAAAAATTGTAAAAATAAATATATTAAAATTCATGGTTTTAGTTTCCTAGAAAATGAATATAATATTTGTATAAAATGTATTTTTTTTAAAAAAAATAAAAAAAATAAAAGATAGGTAAACATGACGATATACTGGATTTTAATGTATCTCACGATCTATACCATAAATACACAAATTGATTACCTATTAACAATATTTGTTGTAATTATTATTATTAAAAAAAGACTTGAAACAAAGTCATGTCGATAAAAATTGATATCCTTATAAATATTTGTCATGATTTTATCGCAAGAGTCACCGTCACGTCTCTCGCAAGTTACACAGTCAAACCTCAAAATTTCGTCCATAACCAAATCATCTGCAACAAGAAAGAAAGAAAACCTCTCTCAAAAAGTTCTCTCTCTTGATTTAATCTCCGAAATCATATTCCTCGAATCCTATAATAAAAGTGATTCAAAAACCCGGAAGCCATGGAAGAAGATCAAGATATTGTCGTTTCACTAAAAAACCATGATTTGGTAGAGCAAGTTCTGAAAGAACCTGATTCAGAATCTGTGAAGGAGTCAGAATCTTCACATGTGCCGCTGCCTAGTTTGGCGGACGTAGAGGAAGTGATGGGATATAGTTTTAGAAACAAGGAGTTACTGAAGGAGGCTTTCACTCATGGTTCTTACAAAGCTGATGACTGCAAATCTTACGAGCGACTCGAGTACTTAGGCGACTCAGTTTTGAATCATTTAATTGCTAAGCTACATTATTTATCGTATCCTGATATGGCTCCTGGTGAGTTGACTCGGTTACGTGCCGCCAATGTTGACACGGAGGCGCTAACAAGGGCGGCGTTGAAATACAATTTGCATAAGTTTCTTCGCCACGAGAAACCTCTTCTTCAACGACAGGTAATTTTCGTTTTCAATTTCTGCTCCATGATTTATCTGCTAAATAGATCTCAATCGCATGAGATGCTCATGACTACTTCTCCAACTAATCGTTAATGATGTTTTTCGTTATCAGAGATAAATAATCACAAATTTGATCGAATAATCTTATATCACTTTTTAGTTTTTTGTTCCACTGTTCTTAATTACAAATTTGAGTGATTCGATTCTTATAGTTTTTTTGAGAGTGATCAGATCCAAGAATTCATGGAAGGGATCAAACAATACACATCGCATTCACATGGTATGATTGATCCACCCAAAGTGCTTGCTGATCTTTTGGAGTCACTAATCGGTGTCATCTTCATCGATACAGAGTCGTCAATGGATTCTACATGGGAGGTAATTAATTACTTGCAGTTGCATCCATCAAAATTTCTTGGTTTCAATTCTTAGGTCCCCTTTTCATGATGGGTTAGAAGTTGTAGAATATATATATATATATATATATATATATATATATATATATATATATATATATATATATATATATATATATATTGTCTTTATGAATGGTGATAGTGATGGTGGTGTAAACTCAAATCTTGGGGTTTTTTTCAGGTGGTGGAGCGGTTGTTACAACCCCTAATCACGTCGGAAAACTTGAAGCTGCATCCTGTAGCAAAATTCAATGAAGCTTGTCAGAAGATGGGGGTGAAAGCACAACATAAAGATTTGTGGAGTAAAACAGGGGAAATTGAAATTTACATAGAGAATGAGTTGATTGGAAGGGGAAAATACAAGTTGAAGAAGGTGATTGCAGTGAACAGAGCAAAAGATGATGCATATAATAATCTTTTTCTTTTTGAGAAGAAAGATGGTGGAAATGGAGGTTAATCAACATGAATCACCATTACTCCTTTTGTATCAAATTAAATGAGCTTTTTTTGCCTTTGTTAATTTACCAAGGGAAAAATCTCATTTATTTTGGAACATAGTGAGTGATTTCTTAATCTGTCTGCTTTATTGTTTCTTTCTTGATTGACTCCATGCCATTTTCCTATTATGGCAACCATGTTTCTTTCATGAGTTCATCTTTACTTTCTTGTGACTTTTCTTACTATAAGAGTTGAATGCCATTTGTGGGTTGATTATATTCTTTTTTTTTCTTTACTCTAATTTACTTCTAGCATTTGTTATCAAAGATTAATATGGCTAATTTGGATGACACCCTTCAATCTCCATGTGAAGCTAAATTAAAGTATCCATCATTGCATTCCATGTACATATTTCCTTTTTTACTAATTAAGTTTCCAAATACTTTTGTCGCATATTGTGAAAGATATCAGTGATGTACCAATGAAAGAACTTATTTGATTCTGGTTCTTGATGATATACCTATGTCTTTGCTTGTAACAACCCTCCAAGCAAAAAAAGAGCACTAACTTATGTGGCTTTATTAGGTTTCACAGAATGTACAAATAGGTTAAACTCCTTTGAAAAAACTAAATTGCAATTTCGTGTCATGCTTTCTTGGTGTACCCATTTACAATAGTAGTCTATGAATAAAAACATCCTTCATTGTCATGGATTCAAAGAACCAAAACAACAAAATCCATATCTCCATTATTGTAAAACCCATTATGCATAGCTTTACAAGATACAAGACATGTGTTAATGTGTGACTTGCAATATGATAACCTAGATGAATAACCAAGGAGGCGAAGAAACTCGACACGATATAACTATGGGATAAGTACTCGGTTTTGGATCCGGTCCGTTTCAGATTTTGAAATCCATTCGCTCAAACCTAACAAGAACTAGAAGGAAACAATTATATGTACTCGGTCCTGGTTTTTCTGCTCCATTTTCTCACTCCTACCACTAAAGGGGCAAACAAGAGTAGTAAGTCTAAGTCAAGACATAAACAAAGAGTACATGGAAATACAAGTGAATGCATTCAAGAACCTGCAAGAGTTCCACCTCACTTGGGAAATCAAGTGAATGCATCGAACTGGAAACCAAGAGTTCCACCTCACTCGGGAAATCATGACTCTTCCTCATGACATTGTTAAAGTATTTTCAAATAACCCATGTTGTGTCCATGAGCATGACATAAGCTTCATTTTTTTTTTGGGGGGGGGGGGGGGATGGCACTGTTGTTGTCCATTTGAATCCATGTTTTAATAGAGTTGAAAATAATTGGAATTTTGCCCCACCACATGTGAAGTATGTAAGGAATCTGAATCATAGTGGAGCACTACCTGAACAAGTGTGTCTCTGTTCATATCTACTGTAACAAAGAAGGCAAAGTGTCGATTGAATATAAATGCCGTCGATTTTGTCCAGGTTGAGCTTTGTAGGCAACGTCTGTAACCTTGCTCTCCATACTAAGATTGTAACCTTGTTCTCCATACTAAGATGTTCACTTTTCTTGGACAAATAATATTCCAAAGACTCTTGATCATTTTTTGCATAAGCAATTCGTCATCTATAATTCTTCTAAACCACGCCACCATGTATTTTTCATTAGCATCTCCAATCCATCTTTATTGATTATCTTGACAATAGGTTAGTATGTAGAATATTAAACGAGTAAGGTTAGGGTTTAAAATTTCAATTCGAATATGACTTGAAAATAACCCGTTTATTTATATGCAAGTTTTTTTAACTTCTATAAATAAACTAAAAAGATCCAAAATGAAAACCATAAGTAAAAAAACCTTTTGAATTTAATTGTTTTGTAATGCGGAAATGCCATAGTCGTTTAGATCAATATTTTATTTTCAGTTTTTTTGTTCTCTCCCAAACTATAGAGTCCCTTTGACCATTATCCCATTGTCATGATCTCATCTTCCGCCTCCACAACTCCTACTCTTTCTATTATGTCATCTGAACTTGTTATGACTTTATCTATTATGCCTCCAAGCTATTACTTTTTCTTTTCCTCAATGCGTATACTATTTCGATATGACATGAACCCGTATGACACGACACAATTACCATGTCCAATTTAGTTTGTTGTATTAATATACCTACATTTATACACATGTGTGATGAATTCTAAAAAATTATAAAAACTTCATTTAGTTAATGTATGTTTCCACCATATTGAGACTCTTTCGGATGTTAGATGGGTAGGCATTATTTCAGGAGAAGCTCGATATCAACCAGTGATGCTCGAGATAGAGGTGATATAGACAACAGAAAAGAAGAGGAGTTGATTGTGATGAGTTTTCTGATTCAAGAAGAAAGAAACAAAGAGGAAAAGGGAAGATTTTCAACATAAAATATATGGTAAACTTAGGAAAAAAACTTTAGGGCTTTCAAAATTCTTGTAAGGGTTGCATATTAGTGGAAGTTATGAATTTCTAATGGAGTTTTCCTGTTCCGGACTACTAAAAATAATATAATAAAAGTTAAAGTCAAAATTTGCCGACGGAGTCTAAACGAGAGTTATAGAGCATAATCTCACCTACACGTGCATATAAAGAATTTCGAAAACGGAGCTCGTATGCAAAAGATATGAATTTCTGAAGTTCGGGGCATGAACTTCAACCCCTGTGTCAGAGCTCACGACGTGAGCAGGTGATGGACGTCTTCCAAGCCAAGTGGCCTGATGACGAACACAGTGACATATTTGAGCTCACAGCGTGAGTACTTGTGGCTCATGACATAAGCATATATATTCAGCCCTATAAATAGAAGTTGAAGGGCAGTCGGGCATGGTTGCTAATTCCCCCTCTCTCAGTCCTGATACTCTCTCTAACCGTCTTGGAGTACCCACGAAGCCCCGATATCATCCCGACACCCGAAGCAAGTCCCGAAGCTCCGAAGATCCCGAGAAGAAAATATTTTCCGAGCCGAAGCTTTGCCCGCAAGAAGCCCGGTGTGTGAAGAGGTCACAACTTCACCGAAGAATACTACTTTAAGAGCCGTAGTGCTGTCCGAGCATCATCTTATCAAGTGAGTGCATAGTCCCTTCATATATACGATTTCAATACAAGTATTGATGAATGTATTAGATATAGGATATGAGTAAGTATGTAGTTGCTTTCTGATAATACACATATATGAATTATACTCTATGATATACGTCCGATGTGATTATATACTATTTGTTATGTGGTATGAGTATTGAATGAATATGTTATACAGGTTCGAAGTTGTATATAAACGAGTATATATTATCTACAAATATGTTGGGTAGAACATGGGTAGAAAGTGACGTGTGATGAAATAAAAATGATGCGAGAACTCAATGTTGTTGTTGTTTTAGTCATCTAGCGGAGTATGGATGACGACCACGGACTCTTTCTAGACAGTCCAGTGGAACGCTGACAGGTTCATAACTTGTAGATTTTGTGAACGATGTGTTTATCAGTGTACTCTATCCACCTCATGGTTGCCTTTAGGACATCTACTGTTGCAGAAACCCTTTTGCAGTAATGTCCATCCCGATGAAAAATCCTAGACTAGGTCCACTGTGATAGTTGTTGTTTTATGGACGTAAAGTGAGGATAACGGGAATGGGTAAACGAGTTATTGTAGGTTGGTGAAAGTAAATATAATTATTTATTTTGGGTTGAAAACCCTATATGCTCATCAGGCTCCCACGCTTGACCCACTCAGTTTTATTTGTATTACAGCTAGTGGCGCGAGAGCATAAGTTGGACAACTTGTGAAGATATTTTGTTTATAAGCCAATAGTTGTATATAACTGTTGTAAGGCTTATAATGTGTCGTTTATGCTTTTGGTTTGTATCGGAACATGATATCATGAGTTTTGTTATATATGAAAATACGTTTCTTTAACAGATGCTTTGAGAAATTTTATTTATCATATTTTGTTTTGGGAACAAATTCTGCAACTCTTTTAATCAAAGGATTACTCTGAAAATTATTTTAAAAGCATAAATTAAATCGGTCTTTTCTGGCCGTGATTTTGGGGATTTCACATTGATCTTGAAGGTGCACACGATTTTATGAACGATATTTATATCTATAATTTGACGAAAATATAGATTAACATGTATAATAGAGGTGTGAAAAGAACGATGTTTGGTGCCCGAAAAATAGAAAATAAAAAAAAAAACCTTGTAGCTAATCCGTAGCTAATTAACTACAGAATAGCTACGGAATTCTAACGGAAAGCATATTCCGTAGCTAATCCATAGGTAATTAGCTATGGATTAACTATGGAATTTTCTTATTTTCTATTTTTCGGACACCATTTTTTTACACCTCTATTATACATGTTTATCTATATTTTCACCAACTTATAGCTATTAATATCGTTCATAAAGTCGTGCGCACATACGGGATCCATTACTCGTTTAATGGTTTAAAAATATAATGTTTATTAATACATTTAAACACAAATACTCACAAACACGTTGTCACACCCCAAAACCGAGAACGGCGGAAACGTTCTGGGGCGGAGGACGTCATGTATAATATCAACAACAATGTAAAGTAGTAAACAAGCAACAACATCATCCATTGCATTAATAAAATAATTATTATACAATTGTATTCTGTCAATTTTTGATAAACACTAAAGCATAAATCAAAATGAAAGATAAGTCTTGAACAAGCTCCATCTTCCTTTCTCCTTGTATCGGTACCTGTCTATGATGACCTGAGGATACAAGTAATTTTGAAAGCGAGTATCAGCTTTGAAACTGGTGAGATCAAAAGTATTTAGTGTCTTTAATTTGTATGTGAACTGTAAGTATGAAAATGTTTGTAAAACAACTGTAAACGTTTGAAAAACCTTAGAAATCCCTATGATTCCTACTATTATATAAAGTGCATCTTCTACCAAGACCTAACTGTTCTAAATGTTCGTTTCTTGTAAAAGTGTGTAATTTTCCCAAGTGTAACTATCATTATCA